TTTCACAAGGTGCACCTGGTGGAAGAGGAGGAGGAGGAGGTGTGATGGCTTTACTCTGACTCACACCGCAGGCGTGACGCATCGCCCACCTGCGGGGTCCAAGGGACGCGCACGAAAAAGACATCCAAATCACCATGGCTGTACATTTTTGAAAGTGTTACAATGCGTGCCCATGGACACACAGGAACTCGGATACACCGCATGCTTTTAAAGCACCTCCGTGCTTGTCATGGCCCATGACCTTTATAATCGCCCTAACGACCGGATGCATTCCTACAGAAATTAGACCCTCTAACAACTATGCCATACAGTGGTCTTGCTGAAAGTGAGAAGATCGTCTCTCGATGGCAAAGTCGTGAAACTTCTCGGTTTTTGTGAGAAAATGACTGTGAGAAAGGTGCATTGACTTAGCTCTAGGCGCAAAGTTAGCTGCAGCCGCTGTACCACTAGTTTGCTCTATTTTGAGAAATGCTCCGAATCATTCATTGGCAAAACATAGTTACTCTACAGTAGGGGTAAAAATCATTCGAAAGTGATTCTATTTCAAGGAGTAGAGGCATTAGCATTGTCGCATTCCTAGGGGTTTAGCTAACCCAATATTTACCACTACCCTACCGTGATAGACACCCAAAAATACAGAAGCGTGACAAAGTATTTTCGAAGTAAAAGAGTTCTTTACTGAGCTGTTTGACCACTTCCGACTTGTGAGGTCGGTAACTGGTGCTTCATCGGGGTTAGGACCTAGTGAAGGTATAAACTTCACGTATGAGCTCCTATGGGGACAAATGCGTAACGTGGTCGTATTCACGTAAGTATTGCAATGGTGTTTACATATTAATTCAGGATTTTACGGGGCATAATCATTAGCTGCGCACCGGTTGTGCATGCCTTATTCTCCACAATGTAGCCCTCGGGATATGTCAAATACTATTACTCGATTGCAGTTGCCCAATCACTTATGACTCTAGCCCACATTTGTATACCCGGTGCCAAGCATAAAATCCCATACCATCGGAATTACTTTTCTCAATCCCGTAAGGGAATGCTGAAAACATCAGACATTATAAATTCACATTGAAAATAAAGGATAGTGAAATAAAATACATTTACCAATTAATCTTCCTGGAATTCCCGAATCAAACAAATTGTTGATATGCAAGAAAACGGAGATTTGTGTGACCTCTTCATAGGCAATTTAAATGCTGACATGGTCAAATGTATCTACAGGTCGTGGAAATCCAACAGGTGGATTGGGTTATCTCGCCAAATGCCTTGCTATAATTGGGAGCACATATTCGGAGTAGATTCAAAAGTCAATAAATTTCCCATCTTGCTTGTTAATAATGAATGTGCTCTAGGAATGATGAAAAATCGCCTAATAACTAATATATCACACTGACACAATCATTCCAGAATATCTTGTCGAAAGTGCGATTTTTCGTATCCATTTTACTTTATGGTTATCCAATGTCTCTATATTCTCTCTACCATCCTTCTAGAGGAGAATATACAGGTTTTGAATGGGAAATGCTTTTGTATTCGATGCAATCTACTCAGTGGTTATTCACCTGGAGGGCGCCTCATTGAGTTGAGCATTAATTCTGTCATCCACAGATTGAAGAGGCTTTTCGGAACTAGTACAGATAATACATGATATTTTAATAGCTCACATTAAGCGTCTGATATCTCAAAGATTTTTTTTCACAACTGATGGCACGCATCCATGGAAAGCGAGGCAAGTAATCACCCAGCCTACGAACAGGAGTAGTGTGCATTTACTGTGCATTTATTCTGGTCCTAAGTTTTAATTTTAGTGGAATTTCGGATTGAGGAAGTTGCAGTAGTTAAAGCGCGAATTTTTGTTTAACTCATACATTAACTGGAGAAATTATTTTCACTTTATTTAAGTTATTTAACGAGTGTAGCATTTATGAGTTTTAAGTGAACGAAAGAGTAGGTGGCGATTGACATATAGACGTTTTTAATATTTCACAATCCTTTAGCAGGAACATGAATCGGCTTCTATTTCCAATCAAATACATGTAACCTAGGTGGAAGCTTCAGAAAATAGACAAAAATACTGTGTTTAGAAATTGTTTAAGATGTGTTCGATACCGAAAAAGTGACGAAGAGAGGGTAGAAGGAAAAGGGTGAAGTCACAAACCAACTGTGTAGTATGTTTTTTCAAAGTGCCCACGTTTTTGCAAGGCATTAGTCTCATCAAAAGTATGTCTATGTCGATGACTAAACCGGGAGTTGTAGGGACGGAATGGGAGGGAGAGGAGGAGAAATATTTCCACACATATGCCTTGAATACCACTAGCGCTATAGCCACAAAATACACATTCGCGCGTAACATGTCACCCCAAGCATGTGCCCACAAGTAGCAAAAATCTTTGTATACAGGCTTTTTACCCCGCTGCTCGGACACTGCTGTCAGTTTCTCCCGCACATTCCTTCAGACCCATTATTCAACTATGGAACAACAGACGCGCGGATGCAGTCGTCTTGTGGAATGTCTCCGCTAATTTGCGACGGAATTGCAAACGCACGCATATTTCCGAAAATGAATAATGCCATTACCAAAACTGTAATATTGCACTCGGACATCAATGCGCTTTTCTTGCTGAAGATGTACCAGGTCTTGCAACAACATCGTCTAAACATTCTGGATCATGTGAAAAAGTAGTATAACGAAGCTGTGCTCACTTAAGTGAAATGTTCTTTTTCTTCTCCCCAGTACTTTGTAATCGGTTGCAGATTAAAGTCTAGAACCGATACAATTTCATTTATGATTTCTCTTTCGTATTTTCGCATCGGAAAAATATTTATAAAGCACCTAATGAAGATTCTCTTCGTTCAACACCCAAACGGTAGAACTCAATTCATGCAGAAAGGCTTTTTAATCCCTAGGCCAGATCTAATGCTTTTCCTGAAGTCCACCAAAAGTGAACCGAATGCAAGCATAACTCTCTGGGATTAACTTACAGTTTGAAAGTGTAAAATGTGATGAAGGGCTTTTTTGACTACGACACAATTCGAGTGAAAATAATCTACTCTCAAATTATATTCATGCTTAATGGAATTGCCTTTTAGCACTGTCAGTTCATTCATAGTCTTTGCCACTTTCCTTAATCATTTCAACGTGGCTGACTACATTCATGGACTTTACCCTCGATACGCTCGAAATGGTGGAAGGCTTTCTACTAATAATTCATTATAATCATTCAGAGGATACTTACAAACGTATGTGTAATAAGCGTCAACTCCCCTATTTGAATGCCCTTTTCACCGGCCACTTAATAGGACTTTCGTATCCATAGTGGAAAATGTAACGGCAGGCTTTATGGTTTGTCGCAGAATAAGGTGTCATGTCATGCTTCTAAATTCATCTGTGCTGACAAGCCATGATGTGCAGATGATTAAAATACCCATATTATGATGGTTCGGAGTATTTACACCTACATGAGCCATGATTTTCACTTTTGTTGATTGTTGATAATACCTTTGAGCAATTACCACAGTGACCTAAAGTGCGAACTTGACTGAACAGGGTGTGAACCGATTTGTTTTACGCCAAAAGCACTTTGTAGTTTTCTCGCTGCTCTCAAACTTGACATTTGGCTTGTAAAATGGCGCAATTTTGCTTTCTCAACTCCTCATAAAGCTGGTTTTAAAAAACAGTTCGATATCGAATAATCCTGGCGATTTGAAAGTAAGCAGTTTTTTATTTCATTTCGAAAAATCTGTGCATTTTAGAGTTTCGGATCGATGTACCAGAATAAATGAAGGTGCTTCATGTAGCTAACAATTTCACTAAGAGCGTTGGTTTTTTGCAAACTTTGCATTGCTCTATCAGATATGCATTGACCAATTGAATAAATTTGGATAAGGTCTTCAGCGAATGTGCTTGCATTCCTGTGCTTTCCTACTATCAATTAAACACATTTTCATCGGTAAAAAGCAAATACAACTCCTAGAGTTAAAGAAATGTAAAAGTTTGTCTTAATTTAGTCCACTGTCTACCTTGGAGCTTCAACGACGGTCAAACCATTAGTCGGCTTTGCTGATGTGTGAAAACATAAGCTGTTGTGCATCGTCTGCATTCAAAAAGACTATTTATATACGTAGAATATTTATTGAGTCCTTTCCATTCTCACGCAAAGAAACAGCACTTTTCTTGAGTTTGATGATGTTCTTTGATAGATAGACCACCATATTGCAAACAAATGATCATGGACAGTGAAGTAAAAAATTCAAAATTTACCGGATTAAGTCTGATCGCGGTGGGTGAAGTCTGTGCTAGCTACTCCCATTTCTAAGAAGGATTTTCTAATGCATCTCTGGTAGTACAACACAGATATTGCATGTTTATTTCCCCGAAATCAGTTGGTTATGAGTAATTGGGGATGGCATTATGATGCAAATCAGGTCTTTGATAGGGTCGGCAGGGCTCCTCAGCATAAAATTTTGTGTAGATTCAAAACCGGTTAGTGTGTCGAGGGCTTGCGTGATTACAGGTTCCCATGACTCACGACGACATTCAATGAGTCACTGGAAAGTTACGTTCGTGTAGGAGCATCGTTGAAGTATGAAAAAAGACTAATGCAACAAAAAAGGTGAAAGCATAGAACGCAAGGCTTAAGTTTAGCAAACTGCACTGACTTGTTCACTGTGACTAAGTTTTTCGCCTAACCCATTTTTTCTGCTCAAAGAAAAACTCATTTATCCTATTTGTCGAAAGGCGACAACAGAGTAAATCGAATTATTTTGGTTTCATTTCCCTAAATATTATTCTTTTCAAAGCTTAACAGAAGAATAATCACGATTCGTCGAGGCGTCTTCGTTGTTTTTTCATTTCATGTCCAATTGTTTTATTCAATAGTGCTTATTTGTAATTTAAGGAAAACCAGGATTAAACCGTCAAGGGTGAAAAGCCACAGTTAAATAAAAGATTTTGACCATTTTAAGGGAACAAGGTGGTTTGATAACACTTAAACATGCTTGGTAAAATATGAATAGGCGAATCGTCCATAGCTAAATATGCATTTTAAGTAGCGTAGCGTGCAGCTGGCAAAAAATTCAAGAGGTCTTTGTTTTCTCTCTTGGTAGTTTTCTTCTCTCTGGCTGTAAGCCTCCCCTGTGATCCTTCCACCCTGCCCAGAGGCGTACGAATTTCACAAAACGGACCGGTGCTTAAGCTCACCTGCGACTCTGGCCTCCAACCCCTCGAGATGGCCCACTTCACTTCGTCAGCCGGCCTCCTCCTCCCGATCCCCTCTAAGCGGAAATTTGCGCGCTACGTTTGCGTAAACGGTGCCTCCTACCAGCGTATCAATTCGCAGGGCATTGAACGCTCCTTCTTCTTTTGCACGGGTGCCAATCTATCATCTTTTAATACTTTCTATTGGCTGTATCACTAGCGTTCTAAACTATTTGATCATTCGGACACACAGTACGTCTCTCCCGTCTGTTCATTTTGTGCGTTCAAGCTTAATTTCACTGACGCACGTGTTACAAACTCGAGCACTAGTAGATTTTCTGTTCTTATGCTTAAATCAAGCGCCAGGTACTAGATTTTAAGTTACCAAGATGTGTTTTTTGAGAGTATTTTTGCTGAATGGTAGCATTGATCTATTTGCTTTCCTCTTGAACACGATACAACAGGTGATTAATAAGGATCTATGTTTTAAGATGCTTTTGGAATGATTCTAAGTGTTCTTAAAGTGGAATACTACAAGCAGTAGTGTCTTGCAAATTCGATGAAATAAACGTCTGCTTCCACACATCCATGAGTCCTGTAATCGAAATACTTTATAGGTTCCTTCTAAAAACTTATAAATCAAAAAGTGCTATTTTGTTTCGTGCATACTAAATGATTCCATTAAATAAAAATGTAACTTAAGACACGAAGTTTTCCAAATTTTTTTGTCCTCTACTGAGAGGATAGGGCATTTCTATAGGAAACACTGCGGCCATGGGGGTTATCCGTACCGAGAAAAATAAGCGGCAATTTGCTCTACAAGTTTAAAGAGAAAGATCATTATCGAATGTTCGCAAGGCTGATAGTGCTTTAGGTTGATAGATTGACTAATGGAACAATATCTGAAGCACGAATTGAAATGACCTTTCAGTTTTGGTTTCGTCTTTTCACCATTCGAACTGTAACTAAAAGTAAGATAGGTGCTTATCAATTACACAAATCATATCAATGCAAATTTACGCTTGCAGACTTTCTTGGAATTCATTTTTGAAGGCGTATCTACTTCCCTTGTAACACCAATTGGAAGTTATGGCTATAAAATATGTAAAGGAAAGTATATATCGCAATCAGAATTTGATATTTAATACATTTACATTGAGTTGCCTGAAATGTAGCCGAATTCGTTAAAATAGAAAAGGAGTAGTGCATGGACAAATCATTCAAAATTTTACTTCCTTTCTATATGCTTGGGTGGTCATCTCAGTCAGGTACATGGTTCCTTGGTTATGCTTTGCGAAGTTTTCACAAGTTACTAAACTTTACATTTTTCAAATGGGATTAAAGGTCACCATTAATTACTCTGATTTGTTCGATTCTTTAATACTAGCATCAATTTTCAATAAAATGCGTAGGTGATATAAAGACCAAGTTAATTACATTGTGAACTAAAAGTGGGATTTGATGGAGTGACATATGACCTAAATTGGGATTTGTTTTAAGCCGTTTGAGGAGAGCAAATTGCTTCCCTTTAACAGATGGCCAGAGCAACCTCTGCGATCCCCTCGAGAACTCAGCAGAGCACGGCCACCTGCAGGTGGAGGGGACAGTGGCCATATGGAGATCGGTGACTGGCTCTCAGCGGAGTGTTCTCTACTGTGCCCACGGAGTCTGGCACCGTCTCGGTGGCGGTCCACTTCCCTACGGTGAGGCTACTCCTTTCGCCTTGACCTCTTCTCCCCCACCTTCTTGCCCATTCGTCCATTCACTTGAAAAATCTTCGGTTCTCACATGAATACATTCTTCTTATTACTGAAGTGCAAATAAGCACATCTCTCCATTTCAATGCTCGTGTCATGGTGACTAATCGATTTATTTTTACAATTTTATAAGGTCCATGTGAAATCACATGTTAATGATGGATAAAATGCTCACAATCCTTCCTCAAATTGATCAATTTGAATTAAAAGTAGCGTTGGACTTAAAGGAAAATTCTAATTAAAATTTTTATCTTTTTCAGAATAGGAGGTATTTTATGACCCTGATGACATTATGGTCTAAAATGTTCACATTGTTTTATCATCAAGGAGTAAGGAAATTATGGCAATAAATTAGGATTTATTTAACGTTTACAGATTTTTGAACATTGTTTAGAAAAAGAAGCTTAAATGTGTGTTACACAAAAGAATTTTACACCTCATTCTTATTTACTCATCAAAATGCGCTTGATATATTTAATGATACTGCCTCTCACCTTCACAACAGTGAATTAATTATATTGTGTTACACAATGTCAAACGACTTTAGCCAACTGTAAACATTGACATTTACATCACTACTATCGTTGCAGGTGTGACAGTCAAGTCTCAACAAAAAGAAAAGTTTTTAAGCACTCCAGGCACAACTGCGTCAACAACAGCAGGCGCTAGCAACGGCGAAATCATTACTACTATTTCCGCCACCGTCCCCTTCCCCTCGTCACACCCCACTACCACTCCCGTAAATTCGATAGTAGAACTGTTACACCTTCCGAGCCGTCTCCTACCTCCTCCTTCGTCTCCTCCAGCCCACGTCTCGTGCACCACCCCCAAGTCCCATCTACGCCTGTCAGAAGAAAGCTCACTCGATCCCAAATCAGCAGGCCAGCTACATATCCCCACAGCAAACATTATTTTATTTGCGGAGAGTGTCTCCCTTGCACTGCACGATCGGTTTCACAGATGCGCTCGAATGGCTCTCTATTGCATGATTTTTATTGCGACAGGTGCTCTGATTGCCAGCTTGTTGGTGTTGATGCTCGTGTGTCGGAGAGCTCGACTAACTGCCAATGTCGTGCAGGTGCAGGAACGATTAAAAAACACAATCGCCAGTGTGTAAAGCACTTTCACTCCCCGCCTTCCTGCCACAATTCCCTTTTGTACAGGTGTAATAGTTTACACAATGACCCTTTGCTCTCCCCTTCCCTCTACCCACCACTCTTGGTGGCTACAAGAGCTTGTACATAACCACGGAACTGACAACGCGATCGTCTTTTAGCGCCGCGTACAAATGTCTTATTCCTGACGTTCACTGCTCCTATTCGGCTGAAGTCTCTATGCTAAGGCAAAAACAGAGATCTATGTTTTATGTGTCGCTGAATTTAATGACTTTGTAGGAGACCAGTTGGTTCTGGGGACGACCAACTTAGATACTTTATTGTTTCGACAAGTGTTTTTCAAAATCAACAGCTGTCAAAAATATTTCCTTTAAACTTTGTACGTGCAGATTGGCCTAGACTGTAATTATTCGAAGTGGTAAATTCTCCTGCCAACACCCAGCAGTGCTCTGTGGGGTACTATTAGCTTCAGTTAGCGCATGGCGAGCACGTGAGAGACGCTCTTCTGAAATGCTTAGTTTATGTAGGAGATTAACGCATAGGGAATTCATTTGGCTTAAAATGTTTACTACAACGATCCCCCTCACCGTAAACGTCGCATAAACAATGTGTGGTGGCGAGCTCGATGGAGGTGTTGAGAAGCAAGATTGCGTAGTGGATTAGCCAGCCCTGATGGACTCTCTTCAACTATTAAGTGATGTAAAGTTTAGGTTCGAACTTGTTTGTAAATCGAGACAAAGACTAGGCTCTCTCATAAAGAGGATCTGGGTGAGGGATGTTGGCGAATAAAATAGACTTGAGAGGCGTATTCTCTCCGGCGATTCCAAAGGCAAATCATGGCATTTCAAAAATAGTAGGACGTTCAAGTAACGTAAGGCGTGTTTTGCTTGGGCAAACAGTTCTACGCAGTGGACGTCAAAACAGCATAATAACTAATTATTTGTCGTCAGAAAGGTGAAGCAAAGAGAAGACCAGGTCGAAGTTAGTCGAAAACCAAGTTACTAAAGACTGTTTTTAGACATCCAAGCAGATAGTAAAGGGACTATATAAGGTTTTGCCTAATGAAATGGACGCATAATGACCCTATAAGTGAGGGTGTGTCAAGCCAACACTACGGTGATACTTGAATGGGTTTCGTGAGGAATAAACTCACAAAAGACCTATAATGGCTGCAAAACCACTAAAAGTGTTAGTAATAGGAAAACTGGTAGCTTTATCGCGAAACATCCGCAAAATCCTGGTCCCGTTGTTTATGCTATTGGTGCGAGCACCGAGATTGGTGAAGCGTGCACAACGCGCAATGCATGTGTGCTCGATGTGATCTCGTAAGAGTGACACTGGAGCGCTGCCAAGATGCATTTATTTACCCATGTACCGAACCGGGCGTGTTGGTATCCAGTTGGGTATTGATGCAGCTCGACGGCTTGGTGTTTACACTTCATCCTACTTGAATTTTAGCTCCCACCACATCACGTGCACTGACAATCAGTGCAAGAATAGGGCGTCCCTTTTGAAAGCTACTTTGAGGTATTCCAATTATAGTGTGTCTAGTTTTCGATAGCGAATATCATGGATCGCTGAAACCGGCGATCGTTGCAATTCACATGTAAAAGATTTGACAACCGGCAAATTCACTCAGCCATTTCCTGGTAGTTTTTTAGTGTTTGACGAGCAGATGAAAAGTATTTGCACCTAACCACCCAGATTGTTGACACGAAAAGTAGAAATTAGTCATGTTTCCTTCCTGTATTGCCCTTCTGAATGCTACCTGCTTAACCCTCGTTGAAGCGAATGGTGCTACTCAATCATCTCACACCGTTAACGTTGGTATTTTTATCCAGAGATATTAGCGCAGTTCGCACGAATCTAGTTCACCCCAAAAATTATTACTACCACTCTGAAAGTAACGCCCACGGGGACTCCATTTCAGGTGCTTACAACGGACTCATTTGTTAAAGTAATTTCTCTCCCAGATCTCTTGTTGGTTCAAGTAATACTACCGTTCTGCAGAGGGCTATTTGCAGAACTAGAGAAGTCACTTTAATGAAATCTGTTACTCCCTAGGAGAGTGCCAACACGCTTCTTTAGCATTTAAATACTGTCTTTGCTGTTTGGAGAGGTGGAGTTCAGCCTTTAAGAACGCTTACTAGAACTTGATGCTTTTGGGCCCTCAAAATGGAAGTAACTCCCGCTTCATTGGGACAGAAACGTCCTCTCACAATTAAAGAAAAGAAGTTTGAGGTCTCAAATAGAAACAGCCCGGGTGTTTTAAAGCCACTTTTTCGTAATGACGGGAATCAACCCCTGTTAGTATAAATAGCAGGAATAAATGTGAAATGACGAGACCACTAAGGTAATCAAAATTTACTCTAGATGTTAATCTTTGATCCCTTGGGTAGCTATGGTAGGTACACACTAAATATGCGCACGCCAGACAGGCAGGAGCCAACTGCTGAGTCATTTCTCAGGTTCGGTTAATGAAAGCGCCCTGCGCACACTGTCAGGATATTGTCACCCCACCAAGGGTGTCGGCTACTTCAAAGTCTAGTAGTCTCTCTGCACTCGCGCAAGCACACTTTCACCGTATAACGACCTTGATGAGACCAATCGTGCAGCTGTTGCATGTCCTACTGAAGCTGATGACCAGACAGCACGGACAGGTGGCGCCTGTCTGAGGAGGGAGGCAAGATTCGTAACCCATAGAGCACCGTGTCATCGCCCACAAATTTTACACTCCACTATGCGACCTCGTTTTCAGACATTCCACGGCCGGGGATTGATGAAAAAAAGCTGAGTGCGGACCACTTTTCGACTAAAAAGCCATAGTGGGCGCTCGCACCGCATTGATAGTGCACAGTACAAGTCACGATCTACAGCTGTAAGGGTCCCCATGAAATGAGGGCCAGGCATGTTAGCGGACGCGAATCTGTCGCCACAGTACACGCCCTCGGCCTCATCATCCCATCTCCCTAGCTTTATTTTCCAATTTCACCTAACAAGATAAAACTTATAGTAGTCTACGCGAGTTATCACGTCGGCGACTTAGGCAAAATTGTCAAATGTGATGACACTGGCGTTTATGTAGAGGTTAAAGAGAAAACCGCAGTAAGCGATGTACTAGGCTGAGGCCAACGAAATCGCATTTAGGGAACCCAGTCGGTAATTCGATCACCACAACGTAGAGGCCGTTTCAAAACATTGCCATGTAACAGCCTAACCGTGGAGGATATGCATGATTCCGTGCCATTGCTAAGTACAAAAGTGCAAGGACCAACAGTCTAAAAGACGCTCATTTTAATTGACATTCACAAGGCAAAAAAGGCATAAAAAACGTAAATGCCGAAAAAGACTTGATGAACATGTAATGTTGACTTTGAATTTATTTACAAAAGGGACGGTTGTAGCACTGATTCACGTGAATGAATTCAGAAAAGAGCAAGCACAGTCAAGGTGAACATCACAAATAAACACAGCATTCCTCGGGTAAACTATCGCTGTTTAGCAGCACGAACTGCTGGCAGATCGACAAAGTCATCCAATGCCTCCATATTGGTGCGTGATGGGCCTGATTGGTTTGCGCTTGAGACCTTACATTGGAAGTGGCAAAAGTGAAAACCATTCAACAGAATTAAATGATTACTGGGGGAAAAAAGTAGAAGATAATGCATCACAAATGGCATTAGAAACACCAACAACATTGAACAAGTTTAATAAAGAAATTTACCGAGATTTCATCCTCTTGAGGAGCATTTTTGAAAGGGGGCGGAAGTGACAGAAAGAGAACACAAAGAAAGTTACATAGGGACACAAAAAGAACGTCCAGCCAAGTCTTCGTGAAGTACCGACTAAATAAGTTGTGCTTTGCTGGCTCCTTTATAAATGGCAAGGCTAAATCGGTTAGATAAATCGAAATGTATACCTGACCAGTGAAGCCATGCGGACGATGACAAATCAAACATCCTTTGACCACTAAAGAACTCGTTTAAACAAGCTATTTGCTTGGATTTCACTGCCGCACACAGCAAGGCCTTGAATGTATACGCTTTCAAAGACTCAAATTTAGCAGAGTTTTGCCGATCTAATTGAGACGAAAAACTGTCTCCAAGACCCTTCCATATGTTTTCAAGAGTCTCATAGTCTAAACCAGCTATTGCTCTACTGATACTCTCAACGATTTTCGATGGCTGGAACTAGACGAAATGTGGTAAGAAAAAACATTTGTGTAGGATTACACAACCACCCAAGTTATTTGCAGACGATTCTCCATCGAAAACGGTTAAAGTCCGGAAGTAATTATGAGACATAAGGTAGCGGCGCACGTACTGCTCGCAGACAAACTCAGACATTTTAAAATCTAAAATGAAGGCAAAACGAGCACATATTTGACCAATAAATTGGGCAATACTTATTACTGGAATCAATTAGCCAAAGATCCATAACAAAACGAAACACAGAGACTCCACCGTTTAAGAGAAACGGTAGACTTGACCATATTTTTGGACCAGAAGTTAAGAAAAATGTAACCATGTGATATCTATTATTGTAAGTACATACCGAAGGCACACAAGTCGAATAAACGAAACAGAGAGATAAGGTAAGCTGAAAAATTAATGACAAGAAGTGCATTTGACCTGGATGCAAAATACTACGCAAGTGCATAAAAAAATGTGTAACTTCTGGGTTAAAAAACATGGGAATACAAACGAAATAGACGGTAAAACTCGCCTCCCATTACGGAAAACTTGTCTTTACAGCTAATTATAACAAATATCTAGATCACCCTGTACACCTTCACCGCAAATCGCCCTCGTGTAAAATTATTAAGGGAAAAAATCTCCCATGAATCGGTGCAAACTAAATTGCAAAAAACAAATACATTCCTGAGGAGAAAGTTACAAGCGGTATTGTGGGAGAAAATGCGCAAGACAACACCAGATGCTCGAGAGTTGCCAGGACTAGGTGGAACGTGCAATCCCGGCATTTGAGGGTGCATAAAACAGATTTTGGAACTAATATGAGAACAATTAGGTGGTGACAATGCAGCTTCCAGCAGTCAGCAAAACCGAGATTGAACACTTCAGGAAACCACCCATGAACGCCGGCCTAACGCGAGCGACCACAATCAAAACACCCGCATGGCTGCCGCAAAAAGCAACAATTGCTAAGTTATCGGCAAATTAAAACAAAAGTTGTCATAAAGAAATGATGAGTATTTGCCATTAAAAAGAAATTAAAGACACAAGTAATATTATTTTGACATCGTCAAAATATAAAATAAAGTTAAGCTTGTGGTTAATTTATGATCTCCTACGAATTAAAGGTGCTAATAAAGCACTTTAAATTTTAAGCAAAAAAATCAGCTATTACTTTATTTATATTTATTATATATTTATGGATTGATGTGTTTTTGTTTCTTGTGGCCTTATGACACCTCTGGATAAATCTTTTTGCAGAACCTACGACCAAGACAAACCCATTTACACATAATTTTTTAATGCTTAAAATTGTTAGTATTATATGTGACAATGCAATAATATAGTTTAAATCGTCGTTTAGTGAGAGGCTCGTTAGAATTTGGCGTGTTGAGGTCTGTTTGGTTGCTGTTGGCACTTCCTTGCATTAGTTTAACCTTTTGCTAAAGTTTGTCCATTTGTTTTTCTTATAATAGCAGCGTCAGACCTTATTCTGAAGTCTCCTTTTTGATTTTGGATATTTGCATTTTTATCATTAGCCTCAGGACTTCCCAGTCTCTCTTGGAACTTATGCATTTGTTATTGACCTTTTGCTGTTTTTCATAACGCACACTTTGTATGTTGAAGTGAGTTATTCGTTTCATTGCTCTGCGTTTCGTGTTTCAATTCCAGATTTGGCAAACAATATGAACTCAGACGACCTTACATGGCAGTTGATTAGCAAATCATTTTGCTCATACGTGGTAAAAACCAAGACAGGTAGGTTTTGCCGCAATGAAGATAACGTGACTGGACTGTGCAATCGTCACTCCTGCCCTCTTGCTAATTCCCAGTATGCCACAATTAAAGAGCGAGATGGTGTAATTTACCTTTATGTAAAGGCACCTGAGCGTGTCCCTTACCCTTCGAAACAGTGGGAGCGCATCAGACTTAAAAAAAATGAGGGACAAGCCATTGAGCAGATAAATGAGCATCTCCGCTACTGGGACCGGTGGATACGGACACGGGTGAAATTGCGCTACCTTCGAACCCGAGATTACCTTAAGCATATGCGTCGCTTGGCTCTTTCGCGACAGAAGAAAATTGAAACTATTAACAAAAAGACAGAACGACGTGAACTGAGACGCGAGGAGAAAGCTCTTCGTGTCGCCAAGTTATCGCGAACAGTGGAAAACGAGCTACTCGAACGTCTTCGGGCAGCCACTTCTTCTAAGGAGATTTACAACATAGACCGGTCTGCGTTTGAAAAGGCTTTGGAAATCGAGGAGTTAGAAGAACCTGAAGAGAAAGAAGAGGAAGTGGTTTATACCTCCGCTTCAGAGCTGGATGAAGAAGAGGACTTGGAAGACTTGGGTGTTATACAGGAAGATGGGGAGGAAGAACTGGAGATGGTCACAGTCGAGACAGGTCCCTCCTCATCAAAAAGACGAAAAGTGAAGGTTGTTTATGAAAAAGACGGAGATAACTAAAAGCTGTATAGTAATACTTTGTACATATGCGCAGCTCAATATGGTTTTTTCTTCAGTTTTAGACTTACCCTTTGTCTTGTTTAGATTAAGTGGACCATTAAGATCCATAGTCCCTAGTTTGTCGCATCGATTGCCTAAGTGGTAATGTTCTAAATTTAGAATAGCTTATTTGGTCGTTTGGATTATTCGTTCAAATTGAATAGGAAGTTTCTACTGATAAGAGGTCCTCGCAGCTTGTTTCGTAATGGTGTTGGATCCAATTATAGCACCGAAACATGGGTGATCTCGGAGCATTGTTACTAATTGCTGACCGGGTTCCTGTCGGTCGTGGAACTGCTTCTAGTGTCATGCGTCATGCATCTTGATGGAACTTGTTGTAGGACTTCATGAAGACGATAAAGGGCTGAAATAGCTTATTTTGATCTCAATTAGCGAGTAGGATGTATCAACTGGCGGCATCTACGTGGAGTTTGACGCCTCCAGACACCAGATTATCGCTTTTGGTAAGTCGCTCGGGAGGAGGATGAATGTCCCCCAAACTGGGATGGGAAGTCAATTGAGGTGTAATTGTTTCGATGTGGGACTGCTTTGTAGCCCGTGTTAAATGCGCGCACAAGCATCGGTGAAGCGCGACCGAGCCTAGATTACGGGCTGCTGATGTCACTTAATATGCAGCTCATCGTGGGGCCCGCGAGCTCCCAAAGTATATCATGGCCAAGTTTGTAAACGCGGTAGCCATGCATGCTAAGCCAGCCTGTTACTCCAACTTAGGTGGTCTAGATTCAGCTGGGTCTAAATAAGCTACCCGAATTCCGATTGAAAGTAATTACCACTTGTAACCTAAACTTCAAGATATCAGGATAACGTAGCGTTGAACCTGGGAAGTGTTTAATTACCCGTTGGAAAACCACTAAATACAGTTACCCAGGTAAGTATAAGACGAATTCCAGCGCAACGAGGGAAATATGAATTTATGCAATCGAAACGACTGCCGCGGCTAGGTGAGAAGGAGATGGGGAAGTGGAGTGGGAAGCATTCATAGATAAGCTCAATATGACAGAAAGCATAACCCAGAAGCACAACACAACGAAAATAGGAAATTGCGAGGCAAAAGCGAGGCGGAGGCGTTAAGCTATCATTCGTTGGGAAAGTATAAGTCTGTATTTACACATAAGTGGCAGGAACGTAGGGTGGAAGAAGTGATGGCAAACCAAAAGGACGGGAACTCATCATGTTAGTGGTGGTCGTGTTTATGCGCGAGTGCTAAGAGAGACAAACCGCGATGGCCGAAAAGCGAAACTACAAACCACGCTCGTGTTTGTGAATGCTGGAGCAGTAGCCGATGTTCACACCGTTAAGGCCAGGTAGGGGAGAAAAGACACTCCATAGAAAAAGAAATAAAAGCCTTGCAAGAGATTATGTGAGAACTTGATGTGGGGTATTCGCACGTATTTCAATAATTCCTAGAGGTAAGCGAATGCTCAGCAAAAAGCATACGGTGGCTCCGGGATTGACAATCACTTCTGACTTGATTCACCGTCTTTCTCACTCGCCAAGGGACCCTCGACGGCGCCAGAACTAGAACTCTGAGCCTGCGACTCCTGTTGCACCTTCTTCTCCTTGGTTCTCGTTTTACGAGCAAGTGTGGGTAGCTTAAAACGACGCTTCTTCTTTGGCTTCTTCTACAAGCATTCACAAAGAGTAGCTTTACAGTAGTTACACACAGGCGAATAAATATTTTGGTAATAACGCACTTGTTGCACAAGGCATGCATTAAGGCATTGCCTTGAATCGTTGAATTTAGAGGTTTTCATATAGAAGTTATATGGTGCGAATCTTGTGAATGGGGAAGTAAGAACAATTTACACTTATTTACCATGCTTATCTAGGTGTGAACACCGAAATATTGCCTTTCTAAATGGTAATGTGAATTATGACCCAAAGCGATTCCATCATTAGATAGTCATTTGTGCTTTCTTGAAGTTTCGGCATAGTTGGAGCGCGGTAGTGCTAAGATCCATTCAAGGAAAGGACCGTACTTGCGAAGTTAAAGGGAAGTAGCATAAGACAGTGCCCCATAAAAGAGGTTATTAAAGGAATTCATGCGACAGAAGGGATCCATTTACTGATATTTCCCAGTGTCTACTGACAGTTGCAACCAATCCGAAAAAGACTACTGACGACCATTTCGTAAAGCGTTTACACGCGGTGACGGTATTATTGCCTGCAAGTGTACACCAACGATGTAGGCCATTCAAGTTCGATCGGCACATGCAAATTCACATTTCGCGCGCTCGTACAAGGATATAATGCGTAATAAAAAAACGTAAATAATGCCTGAGAATGTCCTACATATATATGTATGCTATTTGCATACGCACCTTTACAGAGACGTAAAAAATAAGACAGGCAGCCTTCAAAAGCTGTCGAAAAAAAACGTTTTGCATAAATGTTGTGGATTTTCATTGCATTGCATCTCAAACAGATAATGCTTGGAAAAACCCTCAGGGTTAAATATAAAATAGATGTTAAATTACATTTGATAAAAAAAAGGGTGTTAAATCCATTAAAGGATAACGAATCCTATCGATAAAGACTACAAAACGACACAATTTGGCATTTGGAGCTTTTCAAACATCCAAAAAGCAATAAAAGAAAAAGATTGACGAGCAAAATGAAATCGCATTGTGTACGTCATATCGAAGGTAAAATCGTACACCCAAAAACTAAACTTAGATCCCGCTCCTGAAGGACAGCAACAAAAATATCAGTGTTAAGCACGACTCCCCGAAAATAGTTTAACGTCTAGGGTATGAAGACACGTTGTAGGCGAGTTTAACATACAATAGGCGTTCACTTAATTGGAGATAAAAGGGAGCAAACTCACTTCGCTTGCATTCGAGTCCTCAATTTCACTCATTTCCGAGGTCGCCAGTCCCACAGGTGAGGGTGGCGAAAGATGAGACCCTAAACAGACAAATAGCCCAAGAGGCGTTTTATCATCAGTCAAGCAGGCTGTTGTGGCCCTTCTTACACTCTACCCTACGGCTACAAGCCAAGAGCAGTGCTGATGCCGGTACACTGTAGTGATTTACAAAAATATGCAATTACATCAGGGTAAGATGCCATATGCGCACTTTACTGAGGCTGATTGATGCAGCATAAGCTCATGGGGAACAAGCAAAATGACAAAACAATCACGGGCATGATGTCACACAAATTTATTCATTACTAAATTCTAAATGGAGGGGGCGTTATCACATTTGAGATGTCTGGAAGCCAAAGCAACCAAAGAGTTCTCCCAAAGAACCAAAAAAATAAATTGAAAGTGACTGGTTGTACCTAATTTGAGTTTTTAAAAACAATGCCGTACTGACGAAAGAGCCCACCTTACCGTATTCGATGTGACGCGTCAGAAAATGCGCGACCTTAACAAACTGTAATCACTGCGCGCCCTGCCATATGCCGGCTGTGAACTCAAATGCACGGACGACAACACGAGTTAGTACTGCCGTACGCAAGGGAATTAAATCACTACTACGAAATGTTAACCACGATTAACGAATGCCACCTAAAGCTTAAATCTTTACGACAAAAAATGGCAATTATTTTCGAAAATGTAGGATTTCAACGCAGGGTTTAGCCGAGACCAGATTGATTGTTTTTAGGAGACGAATGCACTTTGAGAATATAGCTAGAAAACCAGTTAAGAAACGGTTGAAATGGTTTCCCGTATTTGTGTAATTTTGTCCCAGAGTAATGATAAAATACATAAAATCACTAAATCTACACTCCAACGCTAGTTAGATATAAATAAATAGGTAACATTCACACAAGGCATAAATGAAATGAACCTGAGGTCATTTTGATAAAGGGTTCAGTTTATGAGATATGTCAATCGAGGACCACTTCATTGATCGAATGGGTATGCGACGAAAGAGCTGATTCAAAAATTAGTGGGAATTCAGTCCCAAAGACCATGCATCAAAAAAGCAATTGCTCACACGGAGTGCTATAAACAACTAGGAAATATATCGCGAACATGTGACGAAAATTCATTTCTAGGAAAACTAAAAACATCACAAAACCGCCTTTTTTCTTAGTGAATATAACTGAACATTACAATCTCTCACGAAAACTCCATGGAACACACGATGGTCCAAACAGGGAACAAAAATAAAGCAATCCACCGATGGCATAGCTGCGTTAAAATGATTCCATCTAAGCAAATGATCCGAGACTGACATCATTTCACAAATCCAACAGCCAAAAGTTAAATGGTGCATAATAATGAATGCAGAACAGGAAATTTAACCTTACTATAAAAAATAGCACAAGAAGTAAGGGTAAATGAACAAATACCAGTGACATAGGTGGTTTCATGCAATTCGGAGTCGCTGAAAATCGCAGAGCTCGCGCAAATGGGAACCGCAGGAGATTGAGCAAGATCTGCCGAAAGCGAAGAGGGATGCAATCGGCAGTGGAGACGTGCAAACAATGGAGAAAGCGTTAACGAAACCAGCCTGAACATGCCTAATAAGACCTGTAATCACATTCCATTGCCACCCGAATTCCTTTTGTGACTGTGCACTGATTTATCATAACAGTTTGGGAAAACGAGTTCACATGAGATGAAATTAGTGTCGCTGCATACATTCACTTGTAGGTGGTTTCAACTATCCTAATCTATTAATGTGATTGAGCCTGGGCAATAGTCGTTAACACAGCATACACTGATGACACTTGAAACGGATGTTTCGACAATTAACCATTCCACTGTGACAAAATCAGTCGGATAAACAGAAATGAGGGTCATTTAAGACTACAGAAGATTAAGACGAAAAAAAAGGGAATAAAGTATGCATCAATTTTACAAAAAAGAGCGCCAATCAGCAGTATAATCGGTGAAGTTTAGGCAATAAAAATAAAATAAGAAATGAATGGATGCTACGGTCTCTATTACAAAAGTGTCTATTAACTAGGTGGGAGAGCCCTGAGTCCCTGGGAAGGGCCAACTGAATTGCAAATAGCGAGGGCGAGCGAAGGCGTGCACTACCTGTGGGGTCAAGAGGACTCTTTGCTTGTTCAACCTCCTGCTGCCGCAGCCACTCAGCGTAAAGTGTTGGGTTGTTTTTCATCTGAATCTCTTGCTTATAGGCCTCCAACTCCTCGTCTGTCACTTGACCGAAAGGATTCTGTTTCGTGTAGACACCCTACAGAAACAAGCATTATAGTCACGTAATCCAGTGAATTATACAGAAGTCGTGGAGGAAATACATTTACACAAAATATGGCGAACCACATTTCAAAATTTGGAGCACGACGATGGCAGCATTAATTAGTAAGGTAGGTGTCGCACAAAAAATAAATTATACGTGGAGTTATGGTAATGATTACGCGATTTCCAGAATTTTTATTGGAAGCTAAGTATCACCAAAAGCAATGACGTATTCTACCTGACAACCCAGAATATATATGACATAGAGTATCCAAATTTGCATTTTAGTTCTAATAGCCAGGCAGAGCACATTAAAGACACTTGGTGAAGCAAAGAGCGGTAACCAACCTCGTAAACAACAGCACCGTCACGGACGTCGCGATGAAGAATGGCCTTGCTGGCAGCAGCGACGGTGGAATGCGAGTCTGGAAGGGAGGCGGAGACGGCGCCAGGACCGAGAGCCTTCACTAGAGCTTCGTCGCGAATGCGGCACGCCTCGTCCCACGTCAGGCCCTCCAGCAGACGTGACTGCGGTCCCGCAGTGTTCGTGTCCCTGTAGTACTTCTCCCGAACCTTCATAAACCAAGCCAAGGGACAGAAAATGGGCACATTTGAATGGACCAGTCGGTCACGTGACCCTCTCGCAAATGTTATCGAATAGAAGTATATTGGCAAGACAACAACAATCAATAAGCTATGATTTGGTTGAACGCAGACTAAAGCAATTGCAGCACAAGTGCAGCCACAGTGGTAATTGTGTGCCAACTCTGGCCAGCATAACCGCACACATGCACATACACACACAGCTGCCAAGACTGCATCTGCAGATGCAAATTTTCAGGTGTCTATTGCCAGAACACCAACGAATATCGATTGGTGGACGGTGTTCGCACGCGGGTGCGCAAACGACAATCGCGACCGTTGCAATTACACAGTGTCTCGGGATTGGTGAGGTAATGAAAACGAGGACAGTGGAAAACAAGTTGATTTCCTCCATCACGAACAATTTATTACTGTAAACAAGGCTTAAGGATACGTGCACATCTCAATAAATCTTAAAGAACATAAATTGCAGCATACAAGGCAATTCAAATGATTAACGATAAAAAATAACGCAAAGATTAGGTAAGAATACACCTTCAATGTCAGATATAACTACACGCACCTAAATTTTCCCGTGAAATGATTAGACCTAAAGGCATTTAGGAGTTGCATAGTGATGGTGAGGGTAAGCACAAGACAAACCTTTTTCTGGTGTTCCATGAGTTCCCTGGGATCGTCGCCCTGCGGTGCGAAACGGCTGAAGTTCATACCGCTGGAGGGAGTGTTGCTTTGGGCACCTGTGGTCCCCAAAGGAACGGCAGCTGGTGTGAGGGGATGGAATGGTGTAGGAGGAGGCAATCTGCCGCTGGAAATCTCCACATGTAGCGACGCCTCTCGACTGGACACCCAGTGGGCCACGGGTTGACGACCTGGTAGAGTGGACACCTCCTTTGTGTAGTTGTTTGGTGTGTTAAGCCATCGTTGGTCCGACCATTGACGTCGAAGTGTTCTAAATTGCATAAAGGAAAATTGACTGAACATCACCCGATAGACGGCAAAATCCTAAAATAGTACACAATCCCGCTAATGCTGCTTATTTATTTACCGAACGAACGTGCGTGGCCAACCAAAACAGTCAATCTGCGAGACGGTGATTCTTGGAACTATTTTTCTTCAGCAAATTCGACTATGCACCTAAAAACATTCGCATCAGTGCAAAATTTCGATTCAATTAATTTTTCAAATACAATTAACGCCTTGCTTAAAAGCTATCACATTGGTGAAAGTTTAGGTAAGGAATTTCATAGAAAGCGGTCGAGACCAAAAGCTTAATTCCATGCCCCTGGTAGCATAAACAACTGATGGAGTTCGAAAGATGAGGAAAATTGCAGAAAAATGCTTATAAAAATTGGGGTCATCAGGCCAAATATCGAACACACTTAAAGTTGAATTTTTTTACGCGTGAACAGGGAATAGAATTAACTTGATAGAGCCAAAGCAAAAATTATCATAGCCCATAGCAATAACGGTTTGTTAATGACCCGAGAGAAATCAATTGGACTGAATTTGTTCAAAGAGAGAGATAACGTACTCACCCCGGTCTAGCAGTCTCAGATTCGTCGCCTGAAAAGGCACCGACATCGTCGTAGTACTGAGCTATGGCGGTGGCCGCTGAGGAGGAGAAGGGTGGCACTTCGACGTCCTCAAACCGCCTGCTTCCTGTAATGGCGCCTAATCTATCCAATGTTCTTCGAGACGGTCGAGGGCTAACCGCAGCATCCTAAAACCATAATAGTACCAATGCGTAGTAAAAGCAAATTGATGACACTGAAAATATTCTAATTTTACCATGAAACGGCAGCAATACATGCGATGTTTGGGACTGTTTTGGAGGGGACAAAAGCGTTTTAAATATCCTTTTACTTCCTCCATATTACCTGAATATTTTCTATTAAACATTGCAAAGATCAACCAAACTAAATTTGCTGAATAGATGTCATTAGGAAAAGAAAAAAGGTCAGTTTGACCCGTGCCCTTTTGGAATTGAGAAGATGAAAGATCAACACGTCCATTTCTCCAAGACAGTCACCAAAAAACAATGAATCTTTTTACAGAGCAACTTCCATGTTCACACAGCGGAATGCTCCAGCATATCGGACATCATATTCCCGGGGTTATTACATTGTACCAGCAGATTTTAATGGGATACGTTAACATAAAGCATCTAGCTTTTACTCATAAACTTAAGCAGTGGAAACGAACTCATTGGTTTTTTGATAATGAGGTGAATACATAATTACAAAATCCAGACGTTAAAAAAGGGACAAATTGGCTGAAATGGAGGACCACCAACCTGTCGGTAGAGATGGCCGGTCCTGTAGCCGGCGTTATCGAGGTGACGCATGAGAGCCTCGAACTCCAGCTCACCGAGACGCCAGGGCCGCGCGGAGGCGGTGTGTGCGGCCAAAGAGGAGTCGGAGAGGTAGCCGGCGTCGGTACCGTTAGCACTGGCGTTGTGGCGAGAAAGTGAGAGGGTGCGCGCATGCGCCAGGCGGATAGCCATCGCCGCCTCCGGACCTGACACGCCGCCCAACTCTGTGGTGCGCCACGCCTCGTATGTCCTCTTCTGGACCTGTTGGTTTGGAAGCACCAAGTGATCCACACCCAAGGAGGCCAGTCGCAGCTGCAATTTCACAGGGATGAGAAGGGTGAGTCAGATTGGTTTGGTGCAAAATCTATTTCATTTTAAGCGATTTAAAGCACGTACACATATATACACACCTGGCCGAAAATTCTAACCATCAAACTACTGGAGAATCCTGTTATGTTTTACGTAATATGTATGAAAACACTAAACTAGAGGGCGATGAAAGATACCCCATAAAACAAACGAGTTTCAATAAACAGCATTGCCAATTATCTGTTCAAAGGCATGAATGTGCATAAATAGATATAACGGATGCTAAACGTAAAGCAAGTAAGACATCAACAAAGACCGAAAGTGACATGCAGCTCCATTTTATAAACAAAGGGTCCAAATGGACGAGAATGTTTAAATGGAGTCGAAATGATCCATTCAGAAAGCAACTATTGCGTTACATATGGCCAGACAGACAGACAGACTGATGTCACCTGTGTTTCGCAAGCGACTACGGCGTTGGTGGCGTAATGCCAGGCCTCTTCGATGGTTTCGCCGAGAGCGAGAAGGCCACGATAGCGAACGAAGAGAATGTGAGTGTCCTGCGCGATCACCTTGCTCAGTGCAGCTCTCTCAGAGCTTAGGTCGGCGGCGACAAGTGAGGAGGGCGCGGTCCGGCCACCGGCGCCCCCCTCCGCTACGTTCTCCCTGGTCGAATCGTCGGGTAGTGGGTGCTTTGGAGTGTAGTAGACCACCTCACCCAGGATGATGGCCTCTTGTGATAACGGCAGCAGACCCGCCTTCATGCACGATACCTACAATTACAAAAATATACAAGTTGAATTTGAACACGCCTACCACACATCTACCGAAATAATGCTGCTGCTAAAGGCAACATACAGCAACCGTTGCGGGTGTACCCAAGTGAATGATGCAACGGATGTCAGGACGAGTCGAATGAACAGCGGAATGAAATAGCCATCCGGCCTGTTCAACGCCAAGAACAGTTGATCCAGGATCAAGTACGACACCGTGACTGTTTAGCTTGATCAGAGATGAGGCAGTCACTTCGTGATAGAGTAGTCCAAAAGGGTTTATGAGAAAATGCTCCTCATTTCGGCTTATTCGAACAGTGGCATGATTATAAATGCTGGTGTTCCAACCAAACAGCTCAATCAGCCGATACACTGAAGCCAGTTTGCAACGGTACACACGTTCTCTGCGGGAATATAGTCCTGTATCAACGCCACGCAAATCGTTGATGGGGATGATTCCATTTTGGTGACCTTTTTAAGAATGGAATGGATTTAACATGAAAGATGCAAGCGACCAAATTAAACTTGGGCAACATAAGGTAGCAATACAAGTGGTAAATAAACACATTGATGATAATGCCAGAGAAAAATACTTAATTACTCTTAGTGAAACCACCTCCAGTCAGTGGACGCTTTCCAGGAATTGTAGAAAAAAGGTCAGCCAAATGTTGCAGGGAGAGAAGACTTGAATTCAATATAGCTGATTCTTGAGATCGTGTGTAGTTCTCTATAATTTCCTCTAGCTCTTTCCGAAACGACTCCGAATTCAGTATTAGGGATACGCGACGGCGCTGCGACATCAGATTTAGATCCTCCTTGATTTCAGCCGGCCTCATAAGTTGTCGCTTATATTCCGGATCATCTGGATCTATATTTGAATAAATGTAACTTAAATGATGACCTACCTATGTTGTCGATGAATTTCTCGGAAGTGTTAGTAAAGCCGTTTCCAACTACTGCATCTGCCATCACTTTCACAATTAAATCAAAAGTTAACAAAAGGACTAGCTCAAGAAAGTTGTAAAGAATAGTGTAAGACCACTCAGATCAGGGCAAAGCCTCGGGCAAAAGCCAGCTCGCAAGTTGCAACCGCCATACACCAATTGGCCGCAAATTGCCTCACTAAAATAAACAACTATTCCAGCGAAACAAAATACACTTTTATTTAAATCTTACTTACACCCCATTCTCGCTGCCTGCTTACTGCTTAATATTGCTGTCAAAAATAGAATCTATATGTCCTTCAGATTCTCACTACCAAGTAGTCCGAAATCGCATTATTGAGGCGCTTTATTAATTTTGCTACAAGAACTACTAATGGCTCTAATAGTATTTACTACTATGGCCACAATTACTTCAGCAAACGTTCTCAAACCAGATGATAGCCACTCCAGTCTTTCCAAGGATAATAAACCATACCTCTGTATAAAAGGGTAATAATTTACGTATTGAAGGTCGTAAGGCCATGGACATGGTTGGAGAGCCACGCTGCCGAGCTAAGTAAAGTACTTGGAACCCTTAGAGTCTGCACAGCCAAACCAATGCATAGCCCCCCCCCCCTTTTGCTTTAACGACGGCTTTGGTGATTCCCTTGTTTACTGTTCTCTGCCCGCCGTTGAAATGTATCCAGAGTATTAGCAGTGACTCAGAAGTCAGGATAGGCAGTCACTATATTCTAAAGCAGACAAGCAGGTATTTGACGCCAAAGTCAAGGATGCGTCTCGGCGACTCCATCGTATCCGGATTTCGAATTTATTTGTTGACTGCGCTGAAGGGAGGAGGAATAATTGAACTTGTACTCATCAATGGTGGTTGATTCTCCATAAAGATTATTTTAGTATGCGATTTGCTACTTGTGTTTTTACTAGCCCTGAATAGAGATACCCAACAAAATAGAAAGTCTAAAGTAGTTTTACATTAATTCTGTTTTTCCTTACCGTTTATTTTCTCATTTTAGCGCTTCTTGGCTGTCTGTCTTGGTTCCACTCAGCTGGTCGGGACCTATAAGAGGTGTCGTTTGTTAGCGCAGTTAACACCTCTGCAGAAATGCCGTAGGCAGCGCGATTGTTAGGTTTTTAGAACCGTAAAACTCCAATTTCGCCTCTGCTACCAATAGCCGTCTTGAAGAACATGAGATTGGGATGATTGCCAAGGTCAGTTTTCACATGTTGGCCATTCGCAGCAGACCCCTCCTCCCTGCGACGTTAAGGTTTGTTTGTGGGCCATAGAACAAAGGGTAGTTGGCCTCTTGAACAGGGTTCGTTTGTAGATGCTACAACTATAGGTCCCTAAATCTTTCCAAAAGTCTCAACCATAGCGATATGGAGGAAGCCTCATTATTAGCATAAGAAAGGGCTGGGACGCTATAGGCCTGGATGGAGGACCACGCTGGATAGCGGAAGTACAGCCTGCGGAGACTGAAGAGCCCGTGCAACTAGACGCAAAGTGGAAGACTATCAAATCAGCATATTACTAACGATGTATTATACATGCATGGAGTTTGTGATTTAAAACTCTACTTTATTTTAAATCCGTTCAATTAAACCAATGCATAGCGTCTTTCTGTTACACTAAATAGCGCTTTAATATGAATTATGTATACGGTTTGCGGCATATTTTGCCAACCTCACTTCAAACATATCCCAACTAATGTTTAAAGCCTTGCGTGGCTTTCACTGTTGTTTTTAATGCGTAGAGTAATTTATGGGAAATGGCTAGGCGTTTGCATAACCACAAAACAGAAGTAACATTGGCTGAGGAGCGGCAGCACTTTATTGGGGAGTAGTTGCGTACCACATTCTTCATTTTAACGCTATCCACAGTCAGCAATGGTGCATCCATGAACTGCATAGAAGTGCAGTTCATAGGAAATGGACGAAACCAAAAATAGCCTACATCATAAAGAAACCCCATACATTTTGGGGAGATTTTAAGAAATTAATTTATGTACATAAAACTTTATGAGGGATGTAGGCAAGATGTGACTGCATTGTAAGATATTTACAATTTATGGGTTTGAAGTGAACCAACTCATGAAAACTTTTGCATAGCTTTTTTTTGGCAAAATTTGCCTCATAATACATTGATTAAAAGAAGGTATTTTAGCAGGGCAACAGCTTAAGAGACAGGTTGAGTGTGGTTATGAATAGGGGTGTAAATGTTGACTCCAACCTCGGTGTGGCTAGAATTGCAGTTCAGCTTGACGATATGGCGGATAATTTCTATCCGCCTTTAGAAGCTGTTTAAATCACATTTGCATGTACCCCAGAAATGGGCAAAGTTGAACTTACAACAAATAACCTGCACGTTATCGTTTAAAAGCAGCGTTTTGTGCCATAAAATATATGGGTAACAGAACTACTAGTTCAGCTCACAGGCAGAAAATAGTGGCGAGATGTTGCTAAATTTCGAACAAAAGGCTTCCACAAAGTCTCTGCAGCGCTTTAAACGATTCACGTGATACCATGTTGACACAATACCATTTGCCATCAAGAATCACAAGGAATTTCAAATATGCTAAAAACCATCTCTGAAGTAAGCACAAATAATTTTAAAATTAACAGTGAATACGATCTAACTGAAAAGAACTGATAAAGGATCACCTAATGGCACCACTAATGGTCAAATTATCCAGAATCACCATAAAAGCACTTTGGGGTGGAGGCACTGGCTTTCCTGAATTGCGATCGTGTTGTGTCTGCGGTGTTGGCGTCAACGCTCTTGTTCATGTGATGGTTTTATACTTTAATGGATTGCCAACTAGAATGAGGATATTCATCGAAAAATTCTAGAGGTAGGGAAGTAAATGCGCCTAAGGTCTGCTGAACGGCCTAATTGAAAGGTGGCTATGTTCACATCCAATTACTGCATTTGGCAGGTAAAGCATACCGCACAGCCCCAGGTCGCTTTAATTCGGCCACACGAATTAAGGTTGGTGTGACAATTTGTCTGCTTGACGTGAGCACGAAATCATCCGCCTGCGCACCGATGGGAGAGACTTGTGGGTTCACGCACCTGGCTGCACGCGAGCGCATGTGTCATCATGGGTCAAAAAACACCTACTTTGGGTGACTTATAAAGCGGCAAATGGGCCCGCAAAGACAGTAGTTTATCCGTTCTTCTACTCTTCCCGTGCTGCTCCTCTGTGTGCGTACGCAGTCAAGTCTACAGGCGACGAAGGGACTCCCTGATTTGGGACAAAAACTACGGCGGCCTCGCTTTCTCACCCCTCAACCCTCTCTTACCCCACGCACCCCACCTCCGACGGTGAGTCATTGGCATGTGCGGCGCTGCCGCCACTGCCGTCGCTTGGCTTGCCAAGAGGTTGAGTCATGTGTCTAAGGTTTGCCAGACGCCGCCGACTGAGCTACCACTATCTCACGACGGCCAGAAGCTTCACCCTTCTGTGTAGGCAACCTCTAAGGCCAGGAGAGCAATAGCTCATGCGTTTCGGAGTCCAAGCCTTTCCAGTGGTTATTCCTTCTGAGGCGTTATGGTTCGGTTTAATCAATCTCATCACTAGTCAGAGAAAATATCAGGAAGTGGAATTTAATGAACTCTGTATGGAAAGCGAGCATGAATTTTAGGTTTACCTATTCACATTGAATGATTGCAGATAGTTCTAATGAATTTCGCGTGAAGTTTGGCGTTAGCTTTCTCGTCGGTATTAGCCCTTCTTTACTCACGCGGAATCTGTACATTCATTCGTATTGTAACATCACTGGAGTTTGCTGCGATTAATAATATCACAAAAGTTGGAGAGAACACACATGCCCTTTCAAGCGGGTCCCATTTGCTTGAGATGCGAGAATAGATGGAGACTAGTGGCTGAAAAAGATGGAGATTAGTGAAACACGATTATATTAAAGACTGAAGTACATTTATTTCTTTAAAAAATGGTAATTTATCTGTACCCCTATTCAAAGTCTGAAAGCTCATTTTAATGCAAAAACTTGATTTACAAAGCTACGTCGTCTTATAAGTGCATTACTTTTGTCTACCGCCAAAAGGTCTAGATATTTCAAGTTAAGCAAGGGTTATGATGGGTGAGGTCGAGCTGGAAATAAACCATGGCTAATTGAAGTCAAATAATTGTGGCTACTATGCTACTTTCCATTTATGGTGTTGCAAATATGCTAAATACTTTGATTTTCCACTTTGATAACTAGAAAAATACCGGTGACTTTCTTTACATGGTATGAAACATAGGATTAACATAGTGTACGAAATTTTATCCATCGTCGTCTAAAGAAATTTGCTAAGCAAATATGGAAACACGATTGCAAGGTTTCGATAGTTTGTTTAGCTCTACCTTTGACCACGCGGGCAATCAAGTTTCCGGGGTTTGTACTTCCGCTCGGCGACATGGCTTGCGGAGCATGCTGGTAGCCCCAGCTCCTTTGGAAGACCCGGACGCTCCAATTATGATGACCGAAGGTTTAACATTAAAAAGACTTGCAGGTACATATCACAAATTTTATTTGAGATGGAGAATTTCACGGGCACCAAACAATTTACTGAATTATAAACTGAGCCGTTAAATGAGTTGCTTATGTTAATAAAGACAAATCCTATCCGAGCATTTCATGTGAACGTATTATTTACCCTATTGCGACACAAAGCACTGGAAAATGACATGACCTTCAACAAAGCAAAAACAAAGTACATTTCCACACTACACATTAACTAAAAGATTGTCCGTTTTCGTAACTGAGGTTTGAGTGAAGCAGAGCTTATCTCTTATAGATAGATTGATGGTTTGCGAAGATTTGTGTTTAAAGGGAAGGAACGTATCTTAATACGCATAAATCCCTTCCATTGGCTATAAAGTGTCACTGTCTGACGAAAAAGCTATGCCAATGCTGAACCATTATTGACGAGGAGGGATCATCTGTTTACAAACTCTGATGACAATGCAGGGGAAAACAAGCCATGAGCGGAAAACACACATTGGTTTTCATATAAAAGATGGTGACTGACCACTGGTACATATGCTGCACCACCAAACATGGCAAGTAGAACTGAGGTTTCTTCGACACCGGGGATAGTACTAATTTTTGGTTTGACGTATTTGGACCAAATAGAATTCGTTCGTCGGCTCTCGTACATCGCTAATCAGACGGATCACTTAGCAGCAATAGTAGTGTTTTCCAGTCAAACTGAGGACTACATTCTGGTTGGAGCGACAAACTTTATTGTTTGCTATTTGCCTCGAATTGCAAACCATAAATAGGGACGGGAAAATAAAAATTTTACGTAAAAGAGGAACACACGCACCCCTCCCATTCGCCCGCCTACTTACCCACTCACCCATCCACGCACACATTATGTCCCGAAAGTCGGATTGAATGGCATACCTTTTGTTGTTACCGCTGCGCTTCAGCAAGCAATGAGGTCAAAATCCAGCACCATCTAGACAGGCGGACCACTCACCTTCGCTCCGAGCTTTCACCCACATTTGTACCCACGTAGGGTTTGACAAAAGGAACTCTGTAGTAAGATGTTGAGAAAGCGGACGAAGCTGCATTGCAGCATGCAGTTGACATCTCGACGGCATGCAACCTCCGATCATCCCGGGCTCTTTCATCCTAGCTACGATATTCTACGCAGGTCTAGCAGATTGTCGTCCTGTTGTCAGTATCGCAAAATCGTCCAAACGACCTAAATAGGGATTATTTTAGTTAGGTTCTCCGTGTAGCAGGGACCACGCTCATTACGCACTTATTGCGATATACTGTTTCAAATTATTCCTGACTATTTTAGGACTTGTAAAGTGGATTTACAAAATTCAACATTCCACAGGCAGAGCCTACAAAATCAACTCCACAGATAACCTGCTTACTTGGGTCACGAAAATCAAAATGTATTTTGAAGCAAAGATTACTAACTGCCTTTTGTTTTAAGAAAGCCTTTTAGAACAATGACTGTAAATGTGTTAAGGAAAATCCGTCAAATATAAACTAAAGCAAAGTGTCCGCTTATTAGAGGAGTCAAAAATTTGAAAAAATGAGCGAAAAGATAAAGAGATGCTCCATTTTTAGCTGTTCTGTAATGGCTTTCACGAATTTTTCACCTAGGTTATGCATGCCTCCAATGCGCGGCGCGCAATTACCTCAGCTCCATGGTTTGTAGTTTTGTCGTGTATTTATTCTGCCTAGCTTTAGCCTACCAAGTTATTATAGCAATATTAAGTTAGTAAGTGAAAATAATGACAACAATGCATGGTACTTTACCGACGAAACCGTATAAATCTACAGCATTTTTGCTTGCACGGTTTCTCAGATTAGATAACTTGGCTGCCCAATATCCTGAAAGCTCTAATTCAGGAACAGTAATTAAATAAGTTGAATCTAAATTTAGATTTAATTTATTTTAAGTTTAATAAGAGTAATTAAATGGGGTACAACATCCACCCTATCTATTTGTGCACAGCGGAGATTAATGTCGACATTCCTTTGGGTGGAATTAATGTTAAACTTTAGGAAGGGAGTAATGCCTAAATAAATGTGCATTCAAATTGTCAGCATAAGGTTCAGACTGGAAGTACCCAAACCAAAATAGTACATTATGCTGGCAATTTTAATTCCAAGTTGTCTAACTGGGTTTAGCCAACAGCAACTTTTACAGTTCGGATGGCTGTAAAAATCCATTCAAAGACTATCATCAATGATAATGAAATATGCTTAGAAAGAGGCTAAAATTTTGATTTCCTGTTTTCTTAAAAAGAAGTAGGTGAGTGCAGAAAGGCGATAAAATCAACAGACCATCGCCAGGCGCATCGTCACTACGATTAAGACTGGAAATTACAGTATCCAGTCATCCCGATAAGAAATGTCATAAATAAGTCATTAGGGAGAAAATCACAAATAAATCTTATTAAATATAATTTAATTTGCAACTTTATACGCATAAATATAAAAGAGGTATTAAAAGAAGTCTTCTTCCTAGTGGGCACACCCTTCAAGATGTTAATTTTCGCTGCTATCATAAACCAAACCCCCGAAGGAGTTTGAATGAATTTCATCAAGAAATGAGCAGAAAATATTGGTTCATAAAACTGAAAAGGCATCGTGGATAATTCCCCCAAAGAATTAATTAAGCCACCTACCTCTGCACCGCAAAATGAAGGGGCTCTAAATTTGCAGAACAGTGGTAGATCGGCATAATCCACACTCTGTTCTGTTGGAGAGCACACTTATGTCAATTCAACATGAACGTCTCTTAAACAAAAATGACTTGTCAGGAAACGTGCTCACTTAATGCACAGACCGTAAATGTGTTAAACATTGTGTTATATTTATGTACATTCATATCAATCAGTTTGATAATTAGCTTGAGATCCGTATATGACGAGCTAAAAACCTTAACACACTGTTTTACGATAATTATTTAAATGGTTTGAATAACTTCATACCTGCAAGGCGTTGGGGTCACGAACTTGGGAAATACTTTGAAGAGTGAAGGAGCTAAGGCAGACCCTTGCACTTTTGCTGAGTCTGAAGGCTCTCCTAATTTTAGTTTGTCAACTTAAAAGTGAAAGTGAATAAGATAGTCTAATTTTGGAATAACAAGACTAGCACAAATTTCCCCTTCCATCTGAAATTTGCACCCGTTTTCTGCATTCAGTATGCAAAAGCTCATGTAAGTATGAAACCAAGCCTAGTGTAATGAGCAGTTGTTAGAACGGTTCCCAATTATTTGTTTCCACTATTATAAAAAGTGTTCCAAAATGCATAAACATTTTGAACAAAGCATTAAGAAGCAGGTTTGACCCAACTACAAGAAACGAAGAAGATTGTGTGAAAGTTTGCATATATTTGATCTACTTCATTATTAGCGAGCCATGTTTTAATGGAAAAAGAAATATATGCTCATTGCTCTTTTGTCCAGTCACCCAACACATCCCCTAATCATGTATGCCAAGTCGCCGATACCACAAACTGGACAAGAAGTGGCAAGAAAATGTCATCTAACTACCACCGGCGCTTTGCACGAACGGATTTTTAGATGATTTATAATCGCTATCCAGCCAGAAATGTTAAATAAAGAAATACGACTTTTTCTATTATTTTTAAAATGAAAAACCAACTCTGTGTCAATGCAAGAGAAAGTAGTGTATGCAAAGAAACTGTAGGTAAATGGAGGGCAATACCACGCATTTGGCTGCCAAACATTTGATTTAACTAGACGTCACCGATAGCCCTTTTTCATTTTCATATATGACAGCTTAAATTCCTCACATAGATTGCCATCTTGATCTGACTAAATGGCCAGGATATCCTCTTTAGCAGCTTGCAGTGTACAAACCTAGGTTCGATATCTACCACATCCTTTCCTATGAACTGTTACCTTTGTAATTAGCAGTAGCTCGATCTCTTTCTTATCCCCGTTAAAACGCCTTGGTCATTCATTTACAAACTTTTATGGTTTTCAGCATAAAACGTGGATTTGCATTAAGTCAGCAAGATTATACTCATCTGTTTCCTATTAATCCACGGTTCTAATCCTAAACATATCCCAGCAAATTCTAATATTCCCAGGGTTTATTAAACAAAGGTTATCGAATTATTAATGTTCGAGATAATTTTACTTTGTACCTTACGATTATTTAGAAAGGTTGCGTATTTATTAAAAACCTTGTCTCAATGTGTTGGTTAGGAGTAATAAACAAGGCAACTGCATAAAATATTTATCAGGAGACTGCCTAATTTTAATTACAGCTTTTTGCTTGCACAAAGTAGCGAAAAAATATTTTCATTCAGTGGCCTGAAATGGATCATTACTCACTCACGCCTGAAACAAAACGAATGCTGCAACATTAGCTGTCATCGCTTCGCCCGTCACCGGTATAAACTGCTATTATCCAACGCACGTTTAAAGTTCCGTACCATTGTTGTACTCTTCTAATGCCCAGTCAAAGGAAACTGGATTTATTTTAAAAATGGTTGGATATTAAAGAAGTCAATAAAGTTTCAAGTATGCAATATCTTTTGACATTGTTAAACGCACCAGTAGGAAGAACCGGAATCCATTCTGTCAAGAGATATTTTGATTTTTCCAACCCTTCAACATTTGTTGATCAGACGAATCACGGGCAAAAAAGACTGAGTTAAGGAAAGCACACTACATATGCGACTCAAGATTCTGAGGAGTATAGATCTTCGCATCTAAAGGAACACCTCTTTTTACAGCATTGGAGTACTTTTTGGAGAATGCTGTTATTATTTGCTTGCACCACATTTGCATTAAGGCAACAAAGATTGCGTGCAACATTTGTCTTCGACTACTTAGACCTCACGTGTAAGCTTTTGTTCGCTAGGCGATATTCAAAACCTCACTTTCAAATTTGAGACAGCGAAGAAGCCGGAGAAATGCAGAGTGCGCGAAAGGTTCGAATATTTGGGAGATGAAGACTAAGCCACTCCTTGGTTTTCAACAGAGTAAATATCTTTACTTAAAGAAATCCCATCCAAATATCACTACTCGATGGTTTAATTAATTTCATTGCTTCATTTCCACACATTATACAAACTTTCTATTTAGACCACTTTATTTAAAATCATCAGGGGTTCTAGAGCACCCAGTGGTTTTCCATGCGTAATGCCTTATTTATCCCCATATAAAAACGTCGGTCTTTGAATAGAAGTGGACATATATGCTGCAATGTTTGGTAAAGGCAAGAAACAGACCTTCTGGATAATTATGGATATCAGCAAGGGTGAATGGCGTTTCCGAAAGCACGTATACACTAACACACACACACACACACAAGATGTGGGGCATTAATCATGACAAACGTAGAAGTCTGACTGTTTCACGCACCCATACGAGGTTTTGGCAAACTTTTGCTCCTGCGTTTATCTCCCACACGAACGGACGCGAGTGTGCGTTATCCAGGAGGGAGAGCCAGAGCGAGCGGGAAATTGGCGCAAATCCAGCAAAAAGGCGCCCCCGCTGGACCTGCCTGATTTGTGGGCCACACACATGCAAAAAGCGCGCAGCCGCCTCTCCCAAATGGGTGCATGCTAGTGGCATGAAGGAAAATCCTCCTCCGGTAGCGATATTTCCTCCGGGGAAGGATCTAAAAAAACAGTCCAGAACTTGACGTTTATTTTGCCGGTTTCGCTGAAAAACCATGCATAGAAATTTTTCTTTCCCACATTTACTCGCCCTTGCTCTGTTCTCCTTTTGCAAAACTAGTTTAGCTCGGGACGTAAAGAATGTCTTGGTTTCTCCTCCTGTGTGTAGGTGCTCTGGAAGTACCCCTTTGTGACTTATTTGAGGCATGTATCAAGAAACGCAGTGTTAGGCTAAAATGACACTAAACGCTTTATTAGGAAAATTTTGTAGATCAAAATCCAGCCACATTTTAGGGATCTTTTCTGATAAGGGAATTCCCTCTTTCCTGATAGGTATTTTAGTATATTTATTTTAAATACATAAGGGTGCACCTTACGCAGTCAATCGCTGATACTGGATGGCATGAAATGAATTTTCCAATAGGTCGTGACAAGAACACGTCCTTCAACTAGTACCAAGGGCAATTTAACGAACAAGTTGTGCGTAAAATGAAGCACTTCACGGCGGCTGGTATTTACCAAGGGTGTATTCAACCGCCAAGCTCTGGCATAAATTGCCAATGATTATTGGACCACTTAATTGTCATGATAAGGTAAGATTGAGAGCAATTTTAAACAGCCAGTAAGACTGTTGTATCTTGCCAAAAGCGCTTCCCTACTATACCGTCGTTCTTATCTGGAATAAAAAAATTGACATATTTTGTAACATGTTGACTCCCGCAAATATTGAGGAGACCATAACTGTGCCGTCAAATGAACTCTTCGAGGCTCCACTCTTGGAGTTGCAAATGAATAAAGTAAGGCTTTTGATGGGTTTTGAAACGCATGCACTGATACTTCTACATAAAAGTGGCAACTTAATATGAGTCTATTAAGAGTCCCATACACTTACTTGACAAGCATTTCATATTTGCATGAAATAAACAAGCAAAGTATTTGTTACTATTAGGTCACAGCTTTGTCACTGATTCCTAGCACGGAGTCTACTAAAGTGTCTTTTCGTTTGTCACCTTTTCATACTACTCGTGCCTTTTGAGTCATACGACTGTATAATTATACCATTCTAAAGACTTAAATAAGGTTTTCCACACTATTTATACAGTAAACGTAAAATTATGGTTGAACAAATGAAGGAGCATGCATGATTCCACTTATTTGTGCTGATTCGCAGCCGAAGACCTTGGCATTCCGCAACATGTATCAAACTCTATGACCCTGTAATGGCGCAAAGTAGTCTATCACGTGCACGACTGAAGTTTTAAGTAGCAATTTAGTTGCTTACCCAATAAATGTTTAAATGTAAGTGGAAAAGTGAAAGTTTGGCAAAATGTAATATATTGCATTGCTTTGACGAGAAACGTTCTCAAAAAATATGCGGAGTAGTGCAAGAAAAGTTTGCTGGCTCAAGAGGCTAAGACGAAACGAATCCTTTACTCCACTCTGGGTGATTTTACGCCCATTAATATTAGTCATTCACATCACCAAGTTCAGGAGACAAAGATTATACTACATGGAAATGGGTTGGGTTGTGTGTGTATCGAAAGTCCACTTCAAAAGAAGTTTTTTTTGTCTTAAAAGATGAATCTATGCTAGAAGATTATTCTCCAGACTATTATTAAACAATTTGGAGGTAGGCAGATTCGGTTTGCAAGTGGGGTTGATGAATCGAGACGAAAAAGAGCCTGCTAGATTTGTGGTTCGCTCGCTAGATGGAACGCCCACGCATTTGATCCAGAGCTCGCGCGCTGGCTCAGCCTCTCGCTCCTGAGAGCGCGTGCGGTTGCGGTCGCGATCGCGGTTGCGGTGCGTGTGTGTGTGTATGTGTGCTTGCGATGCGTGCTTGCCTGAGAGTAGATAGACGGACAGGTGCTGGCATGCACACTCCCACCGAACCTGTCCGTATATCGTCCCTACGCATACACCTCTTCCCTCTTGTTTAAGACGGTTTCCGTCACTTGGTCAACACACTCCTATTACACAACACACGCGC